CTGGTCTTGAACTTCTGAGCTCAAACAATCCGCCTGCCTCGGCCTCCCAGAGTGCTAGGATTACAGGCGTGAGCCACCGTGCCTGGCCTGAAACTTGATTATTACTGAGGTACTTTCTGGCTCTTAGGTAATTCTTGGAAACTCCAAGTTTTTATTTTGGATTACTAGGCTAACAGTTGACTCAGAAAAATTAAGAAGGGGGATGTATGAGATTCTTCAAGGTGGAACATAGTTTGTTTTTGTTTTTGTTTTTGTTTTTAAATTCCAGCCTGCTACACAAGGACCTGGCACATGATGCTTTGTGAACTCAATGAAAGTATTACTAGAAATGTAATTTTATTTTTCATGAGAAGTAGTGAAGTATGATTTTAATTAACACAGGTATATTAAGATATAATAGGATTATTAATATGATATGTAGGCCAAACCTGTAAGTGGATTTGAAGGAGTTTCCCAACTTCTTTGGGAAGAATCAGAGCTTCTCAATATACTATTCCTCATTTCAACACATTGACTGCTACACTAGAAAAAAAATTTTTTCCTTGGGGCCACGGTGTATTGTTACAAAAATAGAATAAAAACTTTGAAAACAAAATGATCCTTTCTAATTTAATGAAAAATTTGTCATTGACTTGTATTCATTTAATCCACGTATTTAGAATTAACTTGTTAATATTAATTGTAACAGAATATCAACAAGTAAGATTTTCACAAACCAACTGCAGGGTTTTGTTCAAGTTTTGCTTGATAAGGCCCCGGGCTCAAAACTAGTTAAATACAACTCACTTGGCAGTTAATGCGTTAAACCTCTTAAAGCTGGGTGCATCTGTAGTCCAACTTGAGTGGCTGAGGTGGGAGGATCACCTGGGCCCAGGAGTTTGAGTCTGACCTGGGCAACATAGTGAGACCTTGCCTCTTAAAAAAAAATTAAAATAAAACAAACTTCTTAAAAGTGTATTTAGTAATTATACATGTGTCCTCTTTATCCATTTACCTTCATTTGTGTGTGTATGCACATTTTTAATTTTGCAAATCTCCTCTATCTCAGGGACACTCTTACCCATTTCATAGAGTTGCAGAATATTGGAGTCTGCAAGACTAGAATATATAGTCCAGTCCTCTCTTGTAACAATCCTTTCTTGTATGCAGGAGGACTCTGTGGTCCACTGAGGGTAAATGGTTTATCCAAAGGTGGCTAGAGATTCCTGATGTTCTCTTTCTTGACAGTTATCCTTCTCTTATGTAGACTGAATTCTACATGACAAGATTTTTTTCTTTTTTTTTTCAAGATTTTTTTCAGTTGCTATTACATGACACAAAGGTAGTAAAACAACCACCATATTTAACTTTGTAGGTGATTTCAGTGACTGTATTTTATCTGAGTTTTATCAACTTTTTTGCATTAAAAGAAATTCCCTTAGACAAGAGGAGAATTTGCCTTCTCCGAAGTGTGATGGGGTATTTATTTTAGTGTTGTGAAAATGTGTTTATTGTGGGCTAATATGACATTTGTAGTGTATGTTGTATCTTTTGAAATCCATTCCCCTCCTCTCCTTTTTTGTCAGTCATATATTACTTTGTAGAGCTTTTAGCCAATGATCATACATGAAAACCTTCTTTTTTATTAGGTATTTTCCAGCGGATGCCACAGCTGAGATGCTAGAAGAATGGCGGCCTTTAATGTGCCCTTTTGATGTAACAATGCAAAAGGCCATCACTTATTTTGAAATATTTCTTCCTACCTCCCTTCCTCCAGAACTTCATCATAAAGGTTTTAAGTAAGTATATACATATCTTGACAAATTCTAGAATAAAGCAGGAAATAAAGATGCATAAATTAGTAAAGCAATACTCGGTAAAAAAAAAAATTTGCAAACTCAGTTATTATTTTTGTTATACCTGAAGTATATGAAGGCTGAAACAGTTAAACATAAGATTGTAAATAAAAAGGGAATAATACTTGTATGACCAGCCAAATAAGTTGAGGGTTTTAATTTAAGAAATTAGGAGAGAAAGGAAGAATTGCCAGAACAGGTAGTAACAGGAACACAGATAAAGGGATAAAGGCAGGGGAGAGGAAGAAGAAAATTGTGAACAGTTGTTAAATAGGAATAGATAATAATTATTTAATAAGTACTTTAATAGGTGGGATCACATTTTTTAGCGTAAATAAATTGGAAAGGGAATATTCAACAAGAAATACTCTTTTATTCTATTAAGTTTGTAACTTTCAGTATTATTTTTTCTAGGTTGTGTAGTTATCAGTAAGAATAATAGATTTAAAAAATACAAAGGGTACCTGGCTTTGAATCACTTTCTATAATCACTTGCTATTCATAACAACATTTTTCTTCTTCAGACTTTGGTTTGATGAATTAATTGGCCTTTGGGTTTCAGTGCAAAATCTCCCACAGTGGGAGGGGGTGAGTATCCCTTTTTTTTTTTTTGTCCTCTACTTTTTAGTTTGGAGATAAATAGATATCTGAGTTCCTTAGAATTGGCTGTTAGCAATGTTATGAGCAATTTCTTTTATTTTATTTCTATTTTATTCTATAGTCTAACAAAAGTAGACATTTATTTTGGTTTGTATAAGCATGTTATTGTGAAATACATGAAATGTTAGACCTTGTTTTTTTTTTTTTGGTACCTACTCTAGCATGATGTTGGACCTATAGTGGATGTTTCTGCATATTTGTTCAATTAAAATTTCCTTTTCTGTCTGCATTGGGGATGGTGCTTTGTCATTTTACTTTATAGAAACATTTCAACTGCAATTGATTGTAAATGTGTAACATGAATCAGAACTTAAATTTGGAAGTTTTGAAAAAAGTCATAAACTATTAAATTGCACAGTGATTGCTGAAAAGAACAAATGGTTAAGGAACATGACTGTGGTACTTAAAAACGATGAATGTGTTCATTTTGTCTTTTTTTGTTTACTTTCAGCAACTAGTAAATCTCTTTGCTCGATTGGCTACAGATAATATAGGGTACATAGATTGGGATCCATATGTACCAAAGGTAATTAAGAACATCTAAACATACACACAACAACACTGACGTCAATTTTATGTCATAAAGGAGAAGTGTTTTTGTAAGCTAATTCCAGATACCACATAAAATATTTTTGGACCATTAGGAAAAACATATATAAATAATTTACAGGGATGGGTCCTTTATTTTCAAAAGATCATTTGAGCATATAAAGCTATCGTAAGTGTGTGGGTTTTGTCTTAGCTATGCAGGCCATGAACTGTAATTTTCAGAGTGAGGATTTGGGAAGTACTAAGTATATGATTAAGGGTATCATACATTCATACCTTCCAGTAAATTTTGTGTATTGTATTTGATTGCCGTTCTTGAGTGTTTACTTTTTAGATCACATTATACATTTTCCTAGAGTAAATAAACTAGAATGTCTCTAGGGGTAGTGTTTCTTAAAATTGCATCTTCAGTGTTATTTCACTGGCAGTGGAATAACCTGTGGCGCTTCATGGGGATGGGGCGGGACATCCAGGTGACATTAGAGCAGGGTTGGGGAGCAGCCAGAGTCAAATGCTTTGTTTGCCTTTGGTTGTGCTTTCCTCCTCTGTTTTTGGCCATTGGAAACTAATTGAGAAGGAGAATTAGTTTTTCTCCATCTTTGGGCCCCAACCTATTAATCATGATAGATTTAAAACAGAAATTTATATGCAGGAAGCTGAAGTGGGAGGATTGCTTCAGGCTAGGAGTTAGCGAGACCATCCTGGGCAATATGGCAAGACTCCCATCTCTTAAAAAGAATACAGTAAAATATAAATTTGATTGTGTTAAGATATAATTATTAAGTAACTGATTAAAATACAAATTCTTAGGGAAGAAAATCAAGTCAACATTAAAATTTGAGAGTTACACACACCATAAAAATGAGAAATAAATTTTTTTGAGACAGTCTGGCTCTGTTGCTGGGACTAGAGTAACATGGTGTCACCCTCGCTCACAGCAACCTCCAACTCCTGGGCTCAAGTGATCCTTCTGTCTCAACCTTCCGTGTAGCTGGGACTATAGGCACTTGCCATCATGCCCAGCTAATTTTTTGTTTCTATTTTTAGTTGCCTGGCTAATTTTTTCTGTTTTTAGTAGAGATGGGGTCTCACTCTTGGCTGAGCCTGGTCTCGAACTCCTGAGCTCAAGCAGTCCTCCCACCTTGGCATCCAAGAGTGCTAGGATTACAGGCTTGAGTGCCTGGCCAAAAAAATTTGTGTGAGAGGGAAAGTAACCTGCTAGAAAATATTTGCATCTAGGTTGGTGCATTCTTGCCATGGAATAGGAGCATAGGAAAAAGAATTTATGTGTATTTAGGGAGCAGAAAGAAGTCAGAATATTTCATATTTAACCACAACATCTATATTTTGCCTATTTATATTTGACTATAAATGTCTAATTTGCTTGATTTTGGGGTACATATCCTTGTGCCTTTGACCTCAGAGTGTCATACAATGCATCTATTGATGTTTATGTGTGATTTTTAAAGAATAAAGCAAATTACTAAATAGTATGTTATTTTGTTTAAAAATTCTTAAATATATTCAATTACATTAATATACAACACTTACTAAGTTATTTAAAGAATTATTTTGGTACCTGTAAATATTTATTCTTAATTGTTTTTTTCTTTTTAAAGATATTTACAAGAATTCTGAGAAGCTTGAACCTCCCAGTGGGAAGCAGTCAAGTGTTAGTCCCAAGATTTTTAACAAATGCTTATGATATAGGACATGCTGTGATATGGATCACTGCCATGATGGTTTGTAATGCATTATACTTGTTTTATATAGTAACTTCTATTTGGTGTTAATCATACAAAAATTCTGAATAATCACAGAAGTTCATATTAGTGGCTTAGTTGGGTGACTTGATTCTTAGATAAGTTCTGATTTAGTGAGCTCATGTTTATCAGACCTAGAATGTAGTCATATCACTTGTAAGTCTCCCTAACCAATGGACCTGAAACATAGAGTCAAAAATTTAGAGTTTTGAGAAATTCAGAATGTCTAACATTTTTATAGACCAGGAATCACACTTACAGATAAAAGGACTTTCCCAAGGTGGGATTAGGACTCAATTTTGCATATGCTCACATGTTCCGTTACTCATTCACTGTTATGTTCACATGAAACATGCTGAGCACAAAGCTTATTGACCAAGTAATCCTAATGAAGGGAGAAATATGAAGGATTATTTTACTGACATAATTGAAGGAGAATTAAAAATATACCCAAAAGCTTAGATTTCAATGCCCTTTTTCAAAAATGAATATTAGAACAACTTTATATTAATATTATTATTATCTGGCTTATCATTCATATATTGCTTCTATATCTGTCTCCTTGAATTATTATTGTTTGACATTAGTATGTTCATGTGGAAAAGACAGAATGGTTATTAGAAGTTTACCTCTTAAATTTCATTGTAAGGTAAAACAAAAGAAATTCAAGCTCCCTTTGTTTTCACCATCATTATCAAATAGAGAGAAAATCCCATTTCCCCCTAATCTCCAATAAGAGCAAAAACATTTGGATGTTTATTATCTTATATATACAGTGAGGTAAAATTGATTTTGGGGGGGGCTACAGAATTCGACAGTGATTAAAATCAGCCTTGTTTGAGTTAACTTTGCTTTCCCTCACAGTTCTCATTGGCAGCTTCATTTTGTGTTAAGTGTGACAATATATTAAAAATCAATAATGCTAATTGTTATGTTAGAATTCTGAAAATTTTGTGAGTATTTTGTTATGGAATTATTATAGTCTCTGAGTGTTTATTCTAGTTACTAGAGTGGGAAACATGTAAGTGGATTTCATTTTAGCAGGAAGGCATATTCTTAATGTAATTTGACATTTTATCTTAGATCTGTGTTGTTTCTTGAAAGAACATCATCGTGAGGCAGATAGGAGGTTTCAAGGCCAAGTTGTAGTCCTTTATCCCAGGGCTGTTCAACTTCATGATATGAAAACTAGCTTTTTTCCTCATTTTTCTCCCAGGTTATGTTGTTGTTTGGTTGGCTGTTTTGTTTGTTTGTTTTGGCAATAGATCAAGAAATAAAAATATATTTCTTTTGAGTCAAAATGTGATAAAATATAACAAGGTTAATCATTTTAAACATTTAGAAGTAATCATAAAATATTTGAATGCATTTATGTAAATCTCCCCTCTCCATTTCATACAATGAGAAATTCACTTACTGGGTCATTTAAGGAATGCTTTTTTGCCTGATGTTACCGTTCTTGGTTATTTTAAGATGATAATCTTAGTGATAAATGTTAGTATCTAAGTTATTTGACTGTAGAACGGTAAAATATACTGTTATCCTAAGATATCTTTTCAATTTTCTAATTTGGTTTAAGTAAGTTGCCCTTATTTTTAGTAGAATATTTTGAATTGATTTGCATGAAGTTCGTCAGAGGATTGTTTTTGACTCTTAGAGGTAGAATTGATTTTTGTCAGCAGGATGAATATGAACCACGTTAGAGATTTACAAATAGGCTTGGTCCTGTTGACTCCTTCATTTTTACAGTATGATGTGAGTACTGATAATTTTACTCTTTTATCTGGACAGGGTGGACCAAGTAAGCTAGTGCAAAAACACTTGGCTGGTTTGTTTAACAGCATCACATCTTTTTACCATCCTTCAAATAATGGACGCTGGCTGGTGAGTATGTTCATTTTGCGCTGTAGAATTTGAGATTTTTAAAGATAAGATCAGACTTAACTGTTGCCTATTGTGTGATGTATAATAAATTTTCTGTCTTTTTTAGCTTTGGCTATATGTAAGTGAATACGTTCAAATTAAGGTTACTGTGTTCTAGAACATATAGAAATAAAGTAGGACAATGCTGATGTGGTAACTGGAAACAAAATGTCACATTTCAGGCAAATAAATGATAAACAAAAATGCCACAAAAGCATAGAACCATCTTTTCAGTTTCATTGTGTCAACAGTTTTTGTTGTTGTTAAGTTGCCCAGTTCAAATGGCTTTTCATGTAATGGAAAATTTAGAAATTCTTTTAAAACTGGAATTTGAAATTCATCTTCATTAATTATTATGAATAATTAATTGGTAAGACTGTTTCATTCTATCTAGTTATGCCACACAGGTCTT